TCTGTTGTAGGGTACTTCCCACTTTCTCTTCTATCAGTTTCAGTGTGTTCAGATTGATATTGAGGTCTTTAATCCATTTGGACTTGAGATTTGTGCATGGGAGATTTGTGCATGGTGATAGATATGGGTCTATTTTCATTCTTCTACAGGTTGAAATCCAGTTCTGCCAGCACCATTTGTTGAAGATGCTTTCTTTCTTTCATTGTATAATTTTAGCTCCTTTGTCAAAAATCAGGTATTCATAGGTTTGTAGGTTAAAATCCGGGTCTTCTACTCGATTCCATTGGTCGACGTCTCCGTTTTTTATAATACCATGCTGTTTTCATTATTGTAGCTCTGTAATAGAGTTTGAAGTCAGGGATGGAGGTAATGCCTCCAGAAGTTCCTTTATTGTATAAGATTGTTTTGGCTATCTTGGGTTTTTTGTTTTTCCATATAAAGTTGATTATTGTTCTCTCAAGGTCTGTGAAGAATTTTGTTGGGATTTTAATGGGGATTGCATTCAATTTATAGATTGCCTTTGGTCGAATTGCCATTTTTACTATATTGACCCTACCCATACAAGAGCATGGGAGGTCTTTCCATTTTCTGGTGTCCTCTTCAATTTCTTTCTTCAATGCCTTAAAGTTCTTGTCAAATTGATCTTTCACTTCCTTGGTTAGTGTTACCCCAAAATACTTTATGCTATTTGTGGCTATTGTAAAAGTTGAAGTTTCTCTGAATTCCCTCTCTGCTTCTCTATCTTTTGTGTATAGGATGGCTACTGATTTTTTTTTTGAGTTGATCTTTAACCTGCCACTTCACTGAACTTATTTATCAGCTGTAGGAGTTCTTTGGTAGAGGTTTGGGGGTCACTAATGTACACTATCATATCATCTGCAAATCATGAAAGTTTGACTTCTTCCTTTCCAATTCGAATCCCCTTGATCTCCTTATTTTGTCTTATTGCTATTGCTAGAACTTCAAGCACTATATTGAAGAGGTATGGAGAGAGTGGACAGCCTTGTCGTGTTCCTGATTTTAGTGCAATGGCTTTGAGTTTCTCTCCATTTAATTTTATATTAGCTGTTGGCTTGCTATATATTGCTTTTATTATATTTAGGTATGATCCTTGTATCTCTAACCTCTCCAAAACCTTTATCATAAAGGGGTGTTGAATTTTGTTAAATGCTTTTTCCGCATCTAATGAAATGATCATATGGTTTTTTCTTTCAATTTATTTATGTGATGGATTACATTGATAGACTTTTGTATGTTGAACCAGCCCTGCATCTCAGGGATGAAGCCTACTTGATCATAATGGATAATTTTTTAATGTGTTCTTGGATTCTGTTTGCCGGAATTTTATTGGGGAATTTTTGCATCAATGTTCATGAGTGAGATTGGTCTGTAATTCTCTTTCATGGATGGGTCTTTGTGAGGTTTTGAAATCAGGGTGACTGTAGCTTTGTAAAAAGAGTTTGGCAATGACTCCTCTGGTTCTATTATGTGAAACTCATTAAGGAGCATAGGTATCAGCTCTTCTTGGAAGTTCTGATAAAATTCTGCATTAAAACCATCAGGTCCTGGGCTTTTTTTTTTTTTTTTTGGTTGGGAGTTTTTTTTTATGACAGCTTCTATTTCCTCACAACTTATAGGTCTATTTAAATTGTTCACCTGGTCTTGATTTAATTTTGGTAAATGGTACTTATCTAAAAAGTCCATTTCTTTTACATTTTCCAATTTTGTGGCATACAGGCTTTTGTAGTAAGAACTAATGATTCTCTGAATTTCCACAGTATCCATTGTTATGTCCCCCTTTTTATTTCTGATCTTGTTAATTTGTATGTTCTCTCTCTGCCATTTGATTAGTTTGGATAAAGGTTTGTCAATCTTGTTGACTTTCTCAAAGAACCAGCTCTTTGATTCATTGATTCTTTGGATTGTTTTCTGTGTTTCTATTTTGTTGATTTCAGCCCTCAATTTTATTATTTCCAGTCTTCTACTCCTCCTGGGTGAGTCTGCTTCTTTTTTTTCTAGAGCTTTCAGGTGTGCTCTTAATTCTCTAATATGAGCTTTCTCCGTTTTTTTAATGTGGGCACTTAGAGCTATGAACTTTCCTCTTAGCACTGTTTTTATAGTGTCCCATAGGTTTGTGTATGTTGTGTCTTTATTTTCGTTGAATTCAAGGAAGACTTTAATTTCTTTCTTTATTTCTTCCCTGACCCAGGGGTGGTTCAGTAGTTGACTGTTCAGCTTCCAAGAATTTGTAGGCTTTCTGGGGGTAGAATTATTGTTAAATTCTAACTTTATTCCATGTTGATCTGATAAGACACAGGTGGTTACTAATATTTTTTTTGTATCTGTGGAAGTTTGCTTTGTTACCGAGTATGTGGTCAATTTTCAAGAAGGTTCCATGAGATGTGAGAAGGTATATTCTTTCCTATTTGGGTGGAATGTTCTATAGAAGTCCATTTGATTCATTACCTCCATTAATTCTCTTATCTCTCTGTTAGGTTTCTGACTGATTGATCTGTCCATTGGTGAGAGAGGAGTGTTGAAGTCTCCTACTATTAGTGTGTGTGGATTGATGTCTGCCTTTGAGTTCTAGCAATGCTTCTTTTACATAAGTGGGTGCTTTTATATTAGGGGCATAGATATTCAGGATTGAGACGTCATCCTGATGAATTGTTCTTGTTATGAGTATAAAATGTCCATCTCCATCTCTTCTGATTGATTTTAGTTTGAAGTCAATTTTGTTAGAAATTAGTATGGCCACGCCCGCTTGTTTCTTGGGTCCATTTGCTTGAAAACCCTTTTCCCAACCCTTTACTCTGGGTAGATGTCTGTCTTTGTGGTTGAGGTGTGTTTCTTGTAAACAGCAGAATGTTGAATCCTGTTTTCGTATCCAATCTCTTAGCCTGTGCCTTTTTATAGGTGAATTGAGTCCATTGACATTAAGTGATATTAATGACTAGTGGTTGTTAACTCCGGTTTATTAATGTTGTTTTGGGTAGTAGTCTGTGTTTCCCTTCTTTGAGTTGTGCTCATGAAGAGTCGCTAGATGTCTGAGTTATTGTGGGCATTGTTAGATTCCTTGGTTTGTGATTTTCCTTCTATTCCTTTCTGTAAGGCTGGATTTGTGGCTACGTATTGTTTACATTTGTTTTTATCCTGGAATATTTTGTTTTCTCCATTGATAGTGAACAAAAGCTTGGCTGGGTATAGTAGTCTGGGTCTCTTAGTTACTGCAGTACATCTATCCAGGACCTTCCGGCTTTCATGGTTTCCATAGAGAAGTCAAATGTAAGTCTGATAGGTTTACCTTTATAAGTTACTGGACCTTTTTCCTTTGCAGCTCTTAATATTCTTTCTTTATTCTGTATGTCTTGTGTTTCGATTATTTTATGGCGAGGGGATTTTTTTTTTTTGATCCAGTCTATTTTGTGTTCTGTATGCTTCTTGAACCCTCATAGGAATGTCTTTCTTTAGGTTGGGAAAGTTTTCTTCTATAATTTTGTTGAATATATTTTCTGGGCCTTTGAGCTGTAATTCTCCTTTTTCTACACCTATTATTCTTAGGTTTGGTCTTTTTATTGTGTCCCAGATTTCCTGAATGTTTTGTGATGAGAATTTGTTGGATTTGCTGTTTTCTTTGACTAGTGCGTTTATTTTTTCTATGGTGTCTTCAGAATCTGAGATTCTTTCTTCTATCTCTTGTATTCTGTTGGTTATACTTGTCTCTGTAGTCTCTGTTCTTTTACCTAGATTTTCCATATCCAGCCAGCCCTCGGTTTATGTTTTCTTCATTGCCTCCATTTCAGTTTTCAAGTCTTGAACTGTTTCCATTATCTGTTTGATTGTTTTTTTTTTTCTTGGTTTCCTAGGGTATCTTTTATGGATTTACTCATTTCTTCAAACTTTTTGTTATTCTTCTCATCCATTTCTTTTTTTTTTTTTTTTTTGGTTTTTTCGAGACAGGGTTTCTCTGTGGTTTTGGAGCCTGTCCTGGAACTAGCTCTTGTAGACCAGGCTGGTCTCGAACTCACAGAGATCCGCCTGCCTCTGCCTCCCGAGTGCTGGGATTAAAGGCGTGCGCCACCACCGCCCGGCCCCTCATCCATTTCTTTAAGGGAGTTTTTCACCTCCTGTTTAAGGGACTCTTTCACTTTCATAATGTCAATTTTTTCTACTTCTTCTGGATTAGGGTGTTCAAGTCCTCCTGTTGTAAGTTCGCTGGGTTCTGGTGTTTTCATGTTGTTTTTCAGATTGTTAGAGGAATTCTTGAATTGGTGCCTGCCCATCTCTTCCTTCAAATGATCTCCGATGGATCTTCTGATACAGGATCAGGGCCCCTTGCTGGCCAGGGACCTCACAGACAAAAGGAGTTTCTTCATACTGGGTTGGCCTTAAGTCCAGTTAGACATCTGTTGTTTGCTTCCATGAGATATGTACCACTACTGGACCTTGGGGTCATTGTGGTTCATAGTTTCACAGCTGGTCAGGACTATTGATTGGTTTTCTTCCTTAGCAGCTTGCATGGCACTTTTGTCATTTAGAGATCTAATCATCAGGTAGGAAGCTTTCAGGTCAGTTCCAGCTCAGTTGATTCCTGATTGTATGGTGTCTCAGCTATTGGGTCTTACCTTCAAGTTCTAAGAGGCAGCCAAGGGAGATTGCAGTAGTGTGTGTGTGTGTGTGTGTGTGTGTGCGCGTGTGTGTGTGACGCGCGCGCGTGTGTGTATACACACATACGTGTGCACGCGCATGCATACACATACACACACATATATCCTCTCTCTCTCTCTCTCTCTCACACACACACACTATATGTATGTTTAAGTAAGCATGAAATGTTCCTGTGGCCTTTTCAAACATCCTTAATATTATTTATCCCTTCACCTTTTGTCTCCCTTTGTACTGACCTCCTTTTCCCTTTCCATTTAACTTCTGAGCTATCTCTCCATTGCCTTTGCTTTATTTTTGAGGCTTATTAATTTTGTTTTGTGCATTTTCTTCAGGGATTTTTAGCTCCTGGAGAAATTGATCCCCTGAATCGTAGGTTTTCTACTGTGCCAAAGCCAGATGTGGTGGTTCAAGGTATGTATTACTCCCAGCAATAGAAATTTTATATTAAAGGTCTGATTAGGGGGAAAGATTTGGGGACTTTGTGTTAGGGTTCAAAAAGTATGTAATAAATGTGGTTCAATTTTGTTTCAAAATTACGGTTAATAATAAACAAATAAAAGATGATCTCAGAAGATTATAAAATATTTGATACGACTTATTTCTGGAAACTTTAAAATTTCATGATATGTTATTCCCCTGGTTACTGTTACTTTCTTTTTAACCACATTTTCTGTTTTTCATGCTAGTATTCCTTTATTTTCATAACCTCCTACGCATTTATATTTTCTCTGTTTTAGACTGTTAGACCTGCATCCCTCATAGTTCATTTGCTTCTGACCATTGCCTCACTGGGGAGTATGTCTACAATTTTTTAAATGTGAAGGTATATACATTATGCAAAACACTGAGCTGAATACTCTAAACATTAAGAAATCCAAGTCTTTGGGTGTGTGTGGTAGTACATGTGTTTAATCATAGCACTTGGGAACCAAAGGCAGGCAAATCACTGTGAGTTCAATAGTAGCTTGTTCCATATCAAGAGTTCCAGGACAGCCAAGGATACATTACCAGACTGTCTTAGGGTTTCTA